AATCATGATAGCATTCCATAATATGAAGTAATAAATGGATATTCAGTGTTATCACTTCAGGACCATAATGTTTTTCTATTAATAAAGCCACCATAAGCAGTCATATATGTACTTTAGCCAATATTTTATTATTAATAATTTGACAAACAAGCAAAGAGCATGCCCTTACAAAATTACTCAAAATCTCTCAATCGGTATTATTCAGTCTGTTCTATATTAATAGGGTTGCATATACTAACAGAAATGTTTTCCACTAGTCAGCTGTGAACCTAGAAAACCCATCTCTAGTAGCAATATTCTTTGGAACTCAGCTTAAATCAGTGGGTATTTTGATATATTTGACATGATGCTTCATCGATATGAGATCGTGTTTTGTGATTTTTTTCTCTCAATCTATAGTTTTTTATTATCAAATACATCATTCCAAGGAATAGGCAATGCATAGGATTAACAACTAGGTGCCTTATTGGGTTAAAATAAGGTAAACGTAATATTTCTGACTATCTAACACAAGTAGCAGAAACATGTTGTTTTCTTTCATCATTAGATTTACATTGACGCTATTTTTCAGCAGTTTGTCGATACTCTTCTGAATTACGTTCTTTAAACCAATCAGACATATTCTCCAAACTGCCAAAATTTGATTTTTTTCTATTAGTATTTGCTCTTTGTTGGGGTTAGGAAATTTGGAAAATTATATATAAATCATATAAACTGTATTAATAGAATAAGTATACCATATAGCATTGCATACAGTACCCTGAATATTTTACAAAAAAACTAGTCTAGATTAAATAATACCCCAAAGATCGAGAGATAGAAGGATAATACAAATAATTGTTACTGATCACTATATAATTTGTTACTAAATATATCAAACTAAATGAAAAGATCTCACTATTAATATGAAAACTGGACCACAAATCACTTGTAAAAAAAGGGTAATACTATTTTATAAGTACTATATGCAGTGCTATACGGTAGTATTGCTTCGCTGCAAATAATAATTATGATCTTAAGATAGCAAATTTTATATTTAAAAGTCATAAGTGTTGCAAATTATAAAAATATCTATAATATTACAAAACACAATGAATATAATAATATTTTCTATTCAGTTTATTAATAATAATAATAATATAGACTTTCAACTTTGTAACTTTGAAATCTTGTATTATTTTGTAGCAAAATAAATGATTGCGAAGGCTGCAACTAAATCTAACAATGTATAAAGATACGACTTCATAGTAGACATCTCTAACTGAGTAATATCAAGAAAAAAAACAAACTTCAGGCATTTAAATTTATAACTTATTAGACTAAATTATTCAGATTTTTTAGGTATTGGTTCTGGAAAATTATAAATTTAAAGGCCCAAGGCTTGGTTTTTCTTTGATATTATTCATATAAAATTGTATAAATTATATAATACCTTTTGTAGTACTGATAGCAACTAGCTAATACTGATATATAACTACAAAGTTTTCTTGCAGCTAGAATATCACAGGAGTAGCAAATAACTGCTAATCTTATTTTTTTCTAGTAGATAATTTAACCCCTTTCCAGAATTCTAGCAATTCATCAACTATTGGAGCAAGATAATTATTTATTTTATATAACTTGACTTCTGTAGGTCCTAGTAAAAGTCCAAGATACAATATATTTTTTTGTTTGAATCTCTCTTCTCAAGGAAGATTGCATATTGTACCATATATCATACCACTGCTATATGCTGTTGTCTCAAATAGCTGGAACTAGTCAAGATTAATTATGAGTCCCAAATGAGAATCTGCAGTTTCTGGTATGAAGAACTGAGAATTTGGTATATTAAGTTGTGATAGAAAATCTTTCCAAATTTCACCATCATAAATATCAGATATTAACTCAGTATTAATATTTCGATTAGTCCATTTTGTTAGAAAAGACTCAAATTCTGGACATTGGTACATGATGATTAACTGTGATTTTAAAGATAATAAAGAAAAGATCTTCTTTGACCTTCTGATATAACTATCTGCAACTGAGACCCATTTAGTTAATTCAACACTATATTGCTATCTTTGGCTATATATTAGATAATTAGAAAACTCCATTTGGGTGTATTTGAAGCCTTTATCCTGCTTATTTGTAATTTTTGAGGTTTTATATAAGGTATCACAACTAGGACATACACCATATAGTTTGTTATGGGTACTAATATTCAACAATTTTCTTGCCATATCTAAGCTAGTAGGAAAGTTTTTGAATCTTGACTGGTCAGCATCTAGTAAAATTATCTGAAAAAACTTGATAAGGGATCTAATCGCAACAACTGAAAGACAAAATCTTGCTTGGTACTTGAATATCCATAACAGTATCCAAGAATCATTTAATTAAATATCTAGATCAAAAAGTTCATAATCTTCAAAAAAAGTAAACCGCAGTGATAAAGAATTGATTCAAGTATAATGTATAAAAGAAATAAGTCAATTCAAGTATATTGAATAAAAATAAAGATCAATTCAAATATATTAAATAAAACAAAAAAAATTGATTCAAGTATCTTCAAGATCAGAATCACTTGACTCTTGGCTATTATCTGTTAAAACCTCTTTATCTAGTTCTAATTACTCTAACTCTGTTTCATTTAGATCTGCTACTATATCATCTTCGAAAAGGCTGTTATCATTACCAGATAAATTTGGTTTAACCGATTTATTACTATACTTTGATTCTTTTAGTAAACTTCTGACAGATTTGCTTTTATCTCGAACAACTTCTTTAGGTTTTGAGGTAATAAACAGAAATTCTTCTAACTCTTTTTGATGCTTAGCTCGCATTCTCAGATCAACCCAATGACCACCTTCGCAATGTTATATACAGTTACATTTAACAAGCTCTCTGGTCTTGCGTTTAATTGTAGCATTTTTCAAATGATCTTTGTTAATACAGTTAGTTTTTGGTTTTGTTATTTTAATAGAAGGTATTTTACGAATAAAAAGTAAATAAAGCATAAACAATATATGACATAGTGTTTAAATCTATTTTTATTATATGAAATATATATATTTTTATATCTACTTTTCTTATGTTCATCTTGCCTGAATCATTGATTAAAGAAGTTATCATTAGAGTTGTAAAACTTACAATAATTTCAAAATTATAATGTAACTTATGTTGTAACTTACAAGCAATTTTTATATGCAAAAGTTCTAAAATCATGTAATTTATTGTGTAAGTTATAATATAAGTTTATAACTCTAGTTATCATCAATTATCAAATATATCATTATAAGGATTGATTTATTTCATTATAAGGATTTATTTTTTTAAAACTGATTTCATAGAAGTCGATCATATTATAAGAATTTTTTTTTTAGAACTGATTTATAAATCTCAAACCTAACAATATCAGATATATCATTATAAGGATTTATTTTTTAGAACTGATTTATGAATCTTGAACATATCAATATTTTATTGCATCAAATATAAATATATATTAGATATATAAAGATGTTTATAAATCATATATCATATATATTGATAGAAAAACAATTTGATAATATTAAATCTATCTAAGAGCATATATTATGAGTATCTCCTAACTAAATAGTTAGTTGTTTAAGTTTTCTCTATATTTGAGGTGCTGTTTGGCAAAATAAGCAGTAGCTAATAATAATGTGATTAACTAAGAACTGCACATATATTATTGCCTGGAAAAATGTCTAGTTCATTGAAATATAACCTTTAGGCAAATCGGAAAGAAAATTATAGATATGTATAT